AGCCCGAGTGCAGCGCGGGGGGTCGCTCTGGGGTACAGCAGGCAGCCTGGACCTCGATCCGGGTCATCCACTGCCCCGGCGTGACGCGCTGGCCAGGGGCACCCCCCCCACTCCCTTGCCTCAGTTTCCCTGTCTGTAAAACGCGGATAGTAGTGAACCCATTTCCCAGATTACCCGAGGTAATAACTGAGCATTACCACGGCCTGTGTAGGCGCCCCGGGCTCAGCCTGGGGTACAGCAGGCAGCCTGGACCTCGATCCGGGTCATCCACTGCCCCGGCGTGACGCGCTGGCCAGGGGCACCCCCCCCACTCCCTTGCCTCAGTTTCCCTGTCTGTAAAACGCGGATAGTAGTGAACCCATTTCCCAGATTACCCGAGGTAATAACTGAGCATTACCACGGCCTGTGTAGGCGCCCCGGGCTCAGCGTCCGACTCAAGATAGCTGCACCGCCGCGGGCCCTGCTCTTATCATGTGCCCCCGCTGCGCCAGGTTCTTCTCAGAGCGCTGAAGAGCCGCACACTTCAGGCTAACCCTGAGGAGAGGACCAGAGCTCGGCTGGGGAGGGGAAGCCCCATGCTCCCAGAGACGGAAAACACCTTTCCTCAGACCCAGAGCCCTGCCGCCCCGGTGGAACTTGAACCCAGATTTACCGACAGCTGGAGCTGAGGGCGTGGACCCCCAGTTTCCAGCCCAGGGAGAGCCCCCCCCCGTAGCCTCCCAGGGGGAGCTGCACCCCACACCCGCGGGGCGCAGAGGTCCCCCCCACGTGGCCCGCGGCCCTGACCTGACCCCGTGTGACTCACGGGCCTGGGTCCCCGCCTGGTTCCCGGCCGTCCCTCCCTCCTCCACGCTCCAGCCCTGTCTCCCGAGGAAGGTCACGAGAACTGGCCCAGTACTTGCTTGTGTTGAGCCATCTGGTGTTTTCTGATTTTTTTTTTTCTTTCTTCCTTTTCACATTTAAAAAAAAAAAAAATCCTGAAATTCTAATCAGCTCCCTTCCAGTCCTGCCAGGGAAAGCAGCCGTGTGAGCAGTCTGGGGCCTTCCCCTGGCTTTTCTCTCTAGCTTCACAGGGCTCCCAGGCTTGGGGGAGATACCTGTTGTGTGCACTGAGTTCGAGGACACCAAGACTCCTTGCAGCGAAGGAAGAGGCATGGCCCTGCCATGCTGTGACAGCGAGAGAGTGCTCGGGACCAGCTACTGTTTCATCTCCTCTCCCCTCCCTTCCCCTCTGCGGGGTCACATCCTTCAGGTGCCTTCCCTGTGCAGACCCCCTGTGCCCTCCTGGTACTTAAGAGTGATGGGGACACAGGCAGAAAGCTGGACGGCTGGGGTGGACAGGCAGGAGGGTGGCAGGCAGTGCCCAGGACTGCTCCATCCAGAGCCAAGGCCAGTGGTCTAGAGAGCTAACTGACTGGAGGGAGGAGAAATCAGTGCGCCCCTCCCTGTCTGAGGTCTACAGCTTGCTGAGATCAGGATGTTCTGTCCCACACTGGCCTTCGCAGCCCATAGCCGTGGTGAGAACAGGGTGGTGTCATGCCTATGCTTTCTGCACCCACCAAGACAGGTGCAGTCCTGGGTCCTAGCAAGGTTCAATCCTGTCCTGCATCCTCCTCGGTGAGTCCATCCCCTCGAGGAGAGTGGAGGCCACACCTCTGGGGAGCAGCAGAACCCCCAACACCCCCAGCTTTGAGGACCAGCTCCTGAGCGTCCTTTGGGAGGATGGTGGCCCAGGTCGGACCACGCGGACTCTGGATCCACCTGGCGCCGCAGTCTGGCTAGGGTTCAGCACCTGGCCCTTTCTGAGCTCTTGGCCACATGCTCCAGGACACGGGGACACAGCATAAGAGATGAGCTGGTCCTTATCTGTGTGACTCAGCTGGAGGAGGATAGCCTGGAGTGCTGGGGCTTTCTTGTCACCTTGGGGTGAGGTAAGGAGGGCTTTCTGAAGGTGGAACGATCCAGAGCAAAGCAGGCCCCTAGAATGGAAAGAGATACATTTTGGGGGAGTCTGTGGTGTCAACAGGACTGTGCAAAGGCGTATGTTGGAAATAGAGTCCCCAGTGCACCTTAAGAGGTGGGCTTTGGGGACTTGGGGGGGATGTGGCGGGGACTTGGCGTAGGAGTGTAGTGTTTGCCTAGCACGTGTTTGCCTGGGTTCTACAGCCAGCAGCACCAAAAAAGGTTGGGCCTTTGAGAGGTGATTAGTCCACGACGGCTCTACCATGATGAATGGGTCAATGCTAATTATCAGAGGACTTAAGGCTGCAAGTCTGCTCTCTCCTACCTCAGATGATGCAGCAAGAAGGCCCTCATCAGATGAAATCCCTTAATTGTGGACTTCTAGCCTGCAGAGCATCACCCAAATATACTTCTATCGCTTATAAATTACCAGTCTGTGGCATTCCATTATAGCAGCACAAGACAAACATTTTGTTTAACTCAATAAATTCCAACCTTTGCTTAAGGCACTTTGCAGTCACTTCTGTTAGGTGCCACTGAGCAGGGTCCTTACTCCTTCAACCTGCTGGGGCTGGAAGGTCCAGGGAGCAGTTAGGCAGGCAACTGATGGCCCCAGCCTTTAAGGACCACTGACCAAAGGCTGAAAGTTCCCTTTCCAGTCCTCTTCTTTGCCGTGGGCCTGTCCAGCTGCAGCCAGGAGGCTCCTGGAGTTTGAAGAGGTTAAATGGTCTTCCCAAAATCACACATCCAGGGAAGAGGGACTGATCTGTACTGGGATCCAAGGTATGGCCCCCTTTGGCAAAGGGAGAATGTCAGGAAGAGTATAGATGCCTCTCCCTGCTGGGCCTTCTCCCTAGGCTCTGGGAAGGGTGAGCCTGCATAGCTGAGCCAGGATTCCAGGGGCTGCGGCTGGAGCAGGGCCCTGAGCCTATCCCCAGCGCGTTCCAAATGTCCCCAGCCCAGGATGACCTCTGTGGGTAGCTCCAGCTCTGTTTTCCTGGAGTACCTTGAGCGCACTGGCCAGCAGGGTAGGACCACATGCCGAACTGAAAACAGCAGCCACAGACAGGTCCTCGGCACCTACACAGGGTTTCACAGCTCTCCATTGCTGGAAGATGCGCTCATTGACCTGGCTTCTCCCAAACAACCCAGAGATCCAGAATCTACTTCCTTTTCCTCCCTCCCCATTGCTCCCCTACAGAGCCCAGCCGAGGTCCTGAGCTGTCCTGTAGCTTGGCCTGTGTTTGCCGTCCCCCGGCAAAGGTCCTCTTCAGCTTCTTTTCTTGACATTTCTGCTAGGGTCTGGGAAGGACTTCAGGCACTGTGGCCTAGAGCAGGGCAGCCCTAACTGCAGCTCACCATGTAAGAGTTCTGGCTGGACTTTCACCGGCTTTGCTACCAAGTCCCACCAGCCTCGGCTCATTCTGACTCTGCCTGGGCTGTGGCTGCACAGCAGTCTCCTTTTACCTCCTTGCTGCGTGGAAATGCAAGCAGAGCTCTGTGCTGCCCAGAGACCCAGTCCAGCCCAGGACCATTTGAGCAGAGGGCTCCCTGGTGCTAGCAGAGGGCCAGGGAGCTGCAGGGGCAGCCTGCTTAGGCTTGCAGTAGAGATCCGTCTGTGGGGTCACCGGGGTGTGGGGGCTATCAGGAGATTCAAGGGGTCCGTCAGTAGTGCCCAGGTGGGCAGCAGGCAGAGTTCTGGGTGCCCAGGAGATATAGTCCCAGTGTGGAGATTTGGATGGGATGCTTGGGTTCAGGGCAGCTTGTCCTCCATCAGGGACAAGGAGAGAAGGGCTTGGAGCCAGATCTGGGACTAGGGCTAGAACAAATCCCCTACCCGTCACCTCTCCTGTGGTCTGGGGTGGGGTGAATAGGGTTGAAAAAGCCCTAGATGAGGGAGTGTGTGAGGGGTTGGTCTGGGGCCTAGGCTTGAGGCCAGCCAGAAATGAAGAGATCGTAAGGAAACTAAGGCAGGAACTCTTCCTATGAGCAAGGTTGGGAGGGGGGTGGAAGGGGCGGGACTGAGTTGGGACAAACCTGAAGTTCGTTACAGGGTGGACAATAGGGAGGTCCTGTAGCTGAGGTGCTGGCCACCAGATGGCTCCTCCACCAACCCCATCGTTGCCCCAGAGCTGAGGGAGAGACCTCCCTCTTCCCATTTGTTCAGCACAGGATGTGGTTGCCAAGTGGTGACCCCTGCCCTTGAGTTCTTGGGAGACACTAGCTTCTTTTGCCTTCTTTCTCTCTTCTGAGGGAATTAAGGAAAGTCTGCTGTAAAGCTGAATTTGCATACTTTTATAACTAGTTTTTTTAAACAGTGAGATCAATTATACATTTTACAACTTGTTTTCTTACAAAAGAAATACATATTCATTTTAAGAAATACAGAACTTTGAAGTTTTTTAAAAGGGGTAACTACTGTCAACTTTCTACACCCCCAGATGTTCTTTGTATACATAGTCACTTGAAAGACATGGTCATACAGAAACACTGTTTTGTGGCTGGAGTCTGACCTATGGTTAGAGGGAATTCACATCAGGCTACACAACCTGGACTAGCCTGAGAACCCAAAGCACCTGATACACCTCTGGGGCCGGTGCTCCCAGGAAAAGTTGTGTCTTCACTCTCTCGGCCAGGACAGGGTGGGCTCTGTGTGGGCCAAGCAGAAATCTGCAAAACAGAGGTGGTCAACATGGCAGGCATATGCCAAGGCGTGCAATCCCTGTGTGCTCCCTGGCCAAGACAAGTGGGCTGGTGCTACGGGCTGAACGGTGTATCGTCCTCAACTTCGTTGATCGAAGCCCTAACTCCCAAGGTAATAGCCAACTGAGAGTAGGATCGCCAGATGGGAGGTAAACAAGACACAAGAGAGTGCATTTTAAGAGGTTAGTGTTCATATAAAAGAGACCCTGGAGCATCGCCCTGGCCTTCTGCCATCTGCAGACACAGCTAGAAGGAACCAGGAGACATCCTACCAGACACTGAATCTGCTGACATCTTGATGTTGGACTTCCTAGCCTCTGGAATTATTAGAAATAATAATTTTCTGTTGGTCAACGCCACCCAGTCCATATGTACTAAGACAGCGACCTCAGCCTTTACCAAGCAGCTCAAAGTTTCAGGCAAAGCATCCCCTCAGGGACTGAAAAGCTCATTTTGGGGTCCTTGCATATCTTAGTTACTTTTTCATCCCTGGGACAAAATACCTGACACCTGCAATTTAAAGAAGGTGAGGTTTATATTGGCTCAGATTTCAGAAGTTTCAGTCCATGCTCAGCTGTCTAAGTACAAACATGGCGTGAGGGGAGGGCCTGGCCAAAGGAAAGCTACTCATGTCACGCGGTCAGGAAGCAGAGGGAGAAGGGAGGAGCCCAGGAGGAAGATACACCCTTCCAGGTCAGGCTCCTCTTCTGATCAGACCCCGCCTCCTCGCAGTAAGCCAGCTTTAGCTCCTCCGTAATTCCATCACCTTGTCAAAGCCCTGCCTCTGAGCTCATGAGGCTTTGGGGAACATTATTGGTCGAAACCGTAACATTTCCCCAACCCCCCAACCATGAATATCTCTTTATATAAATTGCATTTAGTCCATCTGTAAGAGTTACCAAAGTCTTAACATTTCTTTTCAAACTGTGTCCAGCTTTATTAAAGATACTTTGCCTAAACAACCATGGTATGTCAGGCAGGACATGGGCACACAATTGTTAACAGTATTCAACAACTTTCAAACTCCCTTCTTGAATGGATGACCATTGCGTGCTTTGGCAGTGCATATACTAAAATTGGATGGACTACCAAAAATGAGAAAGCCACCATAAAATCCAATGAAGTCTTCATTTGATGCTCTGAGCAGGGAAGGTTCAGAGTGAGGGTTGACACTTCTCATTTAGCACGTTGTTTAACTTCTCACAAGCTGACCCTGATTTTCTGAAAATAGCAGAATTATCAATCTGAAGATCCACCATCTAGAAAAGGAAGTCACTGCTCTTGTGGGTCAGCATCTTAGCATCATCTGTTAATCCAGATTGCTTGACACCCTGGTAACATCAATTTTTGGGAGTCAGGTCCCAGTGGGTCTCTGGGCTTAAGGGAATTAAGTCTGTGCTGATGGCAGAGGGAAGGAGGACATAAAATGAACTGGGAGTTTTCCCATACCACAAGGCATGTGTGCCAAGGGGGCCACAGGTGTCAACATCAGGTAATTCTTCCTCCTGGGAGCCAAGAGGAAGCCTTTCAAAACTAGCAGGGAAAGGTGCTTTCCCCCTCTCAATCCAGCTCTGGAGACATTGTACTAGTGACATATGCTCCAAACAACAACAAAGAAATGTTTAACAACACAGCTTTAAAAATGTGCTAACAACATAGCTTAAAAACAGTAAAACAAAATTCTGCACTTTTGTAAAACTTGATAAAAAAAATAGTACTTTAAACTGTAAAGTCACCAGGAGTGCACGGTAACCAAAAATGCACACACTTCACTTGGCATCTCCTGCACCTTCAGCTTTTTGTGCCTGATCTGTCTTGGAATCTCCATTTTTCTGTAGGTTTATTCCCATCCTTGCCAGAATCAGCTTTCCCCTTTTTCCCTTTGGGGACCTTCTCTTCCTTATTTGCGGGGCCTTTTTAGGCGTGCGCTCTGGCTTTGGAGGATCCCGTTTAGCAGACAACCTTTTGGATCTGCTCTGTCGTTTGTCCTTCACCTTGGCTTTATCACCTTTAGCATCCCCTTCAGCCTTTCTCTTGGGCATGGCAGCGATGGTGGCGGGACACGGGTGCTGGACGTGAGATGCAGCGGCGTGCAGCTTTGCTTGGTCCAGGGGTGGTTCCTGCCTCTTCTTCACCGTGCTCCCCAATGTCTTAACATTTTAAGAATTTCTGAAAAGTTCAAGCCCAAAACTTCCTCTGGGAATTAAGGTACATTCTTAGCTGTGAGACCCTGTACAAATCAAAAAGAAAGTTAAATCCTGCTTATATACAACGGCAAGGGTAAATATTACCATCCCAGAAGGGATAAACAGGTGGAGAGAAAGGAATAGGACCAAAGCAAACATTAAATGCTATAGCTCCACATCCAGCACCCAGAGCAAAAATGTGAGCTCCAAATGGCTCGGATGGCCCCACCCCATGCCACGGCCTGCTGCAGTCCCCAGGACATCTCTCTTAGGCTAGCTTTGCTCACTGCCTGCAGCTTTACTCGGTGATTTTCCCTGTTCGTGGCTTCTCCAACTCCCTAATGTCTCCACTGCTTCACTCTTACACCTTCATCTATTGTCCTCTGTCTTCTGAAATCTGGGGAGAAGCCTTCTAGCCAGGCAACTCTTGCATTCTGCATACTTACAAAACCAGTATCATTTGGATGACTCCAAAGTCTGTTGCCAAATTGAGGAGTAGCTGAGCCCTGCCTGGCCTTTGACTTCAGAGTCCTCTGAGTGCCAGATTAGCTCAACTCTGGGAAACATTTCCTTTTCTCAGCCCAGAAAGAGTAGAGCACTCTACAGCTCTGTCCTCAAAGCAAACCTTTTCTATTTTGGAGTGTGAAAGGCCAGGTCTTGTCTTTTCTTGCCTTCACGGGATCCCTCCTATTGTCCTTAGACAAAATAGCTGGGTTTTTATTAATGCTAATCTTTTCAGCGAACAAGTTGTCCCAGGCCAAAATTTAACAGGCCCTAATTTTACAGATGCTTCCATTCTGGACACTAGCGATATTTTTTGAATTATTCAACTCGGCTTTTTGCAAGCCGGTCAGTAACCATGGTCTAACGATGTTTCTCCCACACTGTCCAATCTAGCAGTGTCATTTCACTGCAATTCTTAGAAACCTGGGCAGTGACAGAGATGAAGGTAAGCTTTTGGTGTTCCCTTCCCTCAGACTACAGACAGCAGTTGACTTCTAGTGGGCTGTGCAGACAGTGCAATGGAGGGCCCCTGGCAAATGGTAGCCCAGCCATGCCTGCGCATGGCCTGCCTTTTGAGCTGGTCCCTGCCTGTGTTTATTGAGATGGTTGGTTGCAAGACTCTCCTAGGCCCTGCTGGTACAGGACAAAGAGCCCACCTGGGTGTTTACTAGGCAGGCAGGAAACAGTGCCTTCTGGAGTAACCAACAGGCAGAAGGGATATCCCCATCTGTGGCCAGTACCCTGGACTTTCTTCATTGCAGTAGTTTCTTCTCTACTCTCAGGCTGTTGGATCTAGGATGAGCCACCTCTCAGCACAAGGGTCCTGGGCTGGACAAGGGACCTACGGCAGACCAGCAAGCCACTGATTGTCATCTCAGAGGAATTCTGCTGAACCCATCAGAAAAGAGAGGCTCTCTTTCCTGTGAAGTTGGTACATTGCTGAAACACAAGATTAGAGTTTTGCTTGTAGGGTTCATCTTGACCTCAAGTAGAGGGAATCCAAGAGTGAGGATAAAACAAGAAGCAGATCTGTGCACCTGCCTGGAGTCACACGTGCCCAGATGTCTCGTGCTTTGTGCTCCTTGCTTGGGTGGGGACCTTGGGGTACTGGTGAGGTTGACCCTCCGCTCAGGCAGCTACTCATGGCCTCCGGCTCTCTGGGCTTGTAGTGTTTGAGGATCCTCCTCTGGCCTGTGATGACTCATCAGTCATCACCTTGGAGGGCGCTGCCCTGTGGGGTGTGGGCTGTCTGCAGTGGAGCCCCTGCACTGCTTCTTGTGAAATGCCTTGAGCTTTCTCATGGTGTGCCAGAGGCACCACACCTGTCCTCACAGCTGTGAGTTGACTGTCACCATTACTGCCGTCTCCCACAAGATGCCAAGCGGGATCTCATTTCTCACGGTGTTCTGGAAAACCAGTTGCCAGAGACCAAAGAGCCATTTGCCCGATGTTTGCGATGTTCCTTTTGTATCAGTTAGTGGTGCTGTTGCTAGAGATGGAGACTGTACCCAGCCCCAACTGATGCGAACACAAAACTGATGCTCAGAATCAGAAAACGCCTTCGTAGTCAAGACAGACAATTACAACAAGAGCCACGTTCTGCTGACACAGCCATGTTTTTCTTACGTTAAGAAATAAAATGACCCATTTAGCAAAATCATCTTTTTTCTTCTTGTAAACTGAAACAAGAGTGTACACATTTCAGCTTCCTTTCCTCGATCACATG